TTAAACTATTAAAGAAAACTATTGTAAAAACATGTAAACATATATACCAGAGCTAAACTTGTATCAAAGCAAAAAAAAAATTCTAATATTGGAGCATATAACAAAATTAAAAACAAATATAACATATTCAACATGATAGATATTACAAACTACATGCATGAGTGCTTGCAAGCATAAGTTCCCATAATTCTCCCTATTTTTTCATCTCAAACAGATAAGATTAGAACAACATCATTGTTGATAAAAAAAAAGAGCTAGAAAAACATTATCAAAGTAAGAACAACTAAGAAGTAGCAATGGAAGAGGTGGTTGAGTAGAGGGTCTATGAGGTGGGGTGTGTTAGGAGGCTAGTATTTGTGAGAAAAGATTCTCCAACACCGCCTATATAGTATCTCTTGATGAACCTTCAAGTTGTAAGATCCACATTTGTAAACTCATCATCGCCAATTGGAGTAGGTAGTAGGATGGATAAGAGAGGTTGCACATTAGATGCATTACTAGTTGATCGACTAAGACTTTTAAGGGAAAAAACAAATGAGACACGTTCTGATATAAAAATATAAGCAAGCCTTTGTGGTGGTGTATGGGTGAGTAGCATGAGAGATACATCCTTAACACTGCTGGATATCCCTAGAGTTAACAATGATCTTGTGTTGATGCCCATGACATGGTAGCCATCACAATCATATAACTCATAAGCCACTTAACATGCAATGGTATTTTGACTAAGCATCACATGCATGATCACATTAGAGATTGCATTAGATTTTGAAGAGTTATAGCATGAATAAATGCAATGAGGAGATGCACAAGTCAAATATTGAGGTGGTCCTACTTGAGAAATATATTGATAAGAATCATAAGTTGAATAAAAGGAAGAAAACAAGCATAAAAATAGGCATATTTTAAACTTGAGGTGTTAAAAATATGCCTAAATTAATATCTTTAATAAACAAAAAGGAACAATTTAGCTTTTATAATAATATATTATTTATGTTTCAAATATTTAGATTGAATATATTAGCAGGTTGTACACTTTGATTATTTTAGGATTTATTTTCTCTTTTAAGCAAAGGATGCTATCAATGTTTGAATCTTTGTACTAGAATTTTTATCTATATATAAAGAGCTTATGAACAAAAATATAATATTCTTCTCTTAAAAAATAAAAAAAATAAAAATACCCATTAAGATGTAAGTAAGGCATAATAAACTAGCTCATACCCAAAGTAGTTTTCATCCAATTTCACACTTATTCTAGTTTGTGACAAGAATTAAACATAAATGAATTGTAGTAGTTGCTATTAGGATATATAAATGAATAATACATAACTTAGAATGACAAAACTTGTGATGAATCCTATATTGAGAAAATATGAAGTTATGATATCTACTAATCTACTATGAATATGTATTGAACTTGAGAGAATAAGGTAATGTGAAAATAAATGAGCTATTATGTATGGTGTTATGAATAATTTCTTAAAATCTTTTATTCATGGTAATTATAATAATTCTAAATTTTGTTGCGAACATTGTTCACTAGAACCATTTATAAAATTTATCAACATGAAGTTTTTAATTTATTGCATATATGTAAATATAATATAGTTTAAAAGTGACAAAAAATTTAAAGAACTAAATAAATAATAGAATGAAATATTAGATGAAGACTTAAAAAAAGGATAGATTAATGTGTGGATGAAGTCATTAACTTTTTATTAATGTTTGCCATGCATATTTGTAGCCATACATTAAACTCCAATTTAAATTTATTTGCAATAGTGGTAGCCATATTTTTTAT